TCCCCCTTGTTCTTTCTAGAGCATTCTGGACCTGCTTCTGGCCTTTTGCAGTTGTTGGCCCCTTCCACTGGCACCCCCTTCCCCTAGGTGGCCACAAGACTTGCTTCCTCAGTTCCTAGGTTTTTCAGCGTTTTGTCAAGACTTCAGCCCTCCCTTTGCCCATAGCACTGATTGTCTGATTTTTTTCTATTTGTGTATTATGTGTCTCCTCCCACTGCAGCGTAAGCTTGCCTGCGTAAAGGTTTTTGTCTTTGGTCCTTTCTGTATGCTTAGAACTAGAACCATGCCTGGCATGTAGCATGCACCTAATAAATGCTTTCAATGATATCATATGTGAATGAATGGGTAGAGTGGAGAGGAGACCCCTTCTTAAAGATTTTGACACATTGCGAAATTGGCATCTGTGGTGGATTTTTGAGATTATATGCCAACCAGAAATGCATAAAAGCACCTGTTTCCCAACAGTCTTTGCAGTGTTGGGTTTTTATTCTTGTTTTTCATTTTGACAGGTAGATGGCAGAGGTGAAACTCTTTTGCTGATACTATTTTTGAAGGTTGTACAAGTTTGCTTGTTTGTATGTTTTCCATATTTACCCAGCATAGAAGGGCAGCTCTTACTCTGTGTCTATTTTGTTACAGAAGTGTGTCTTTTTTTTACATCCTTCCCTTCCCTCCATCCTCCCATGATGGTCTCTGGGATGTCGTGGTTCACTTCCTGGTGCAAAAGGCATGAGAACACTGTGGTTATCGGGGTGGGAGGGTGTCATGATTCACTTCCTGCTGCAGAGGCAAATAGACGACCATGATTTTCTGAGGTTGTCCTGATTCACTTCCTGGTGCTGAGGAGAGTCCCAACTTCTCCAGTTCCAACAGGAACTGGCTAAAATCAGGATTCTGTTAGCAGATGAAAAGCTGGACGTTGGCTCTTGGGAGGCAGTCATGGCGTATTCCACATGCTGAATTAGCTCTTGATTGATTGACTAGTGCCTTGATTGACTATCCTTTAAAATAGGGCAAAGGTCTGCACTTTCAAATAATTTTTTTTAATGTTTTTTATTTTTGACAGAGAGAGAGATAGAGCATGAGTGGGGGAGGGGCAGAGAGAGAGGGGAGACACAGAATCCAAAGCAGGCTCCGGGTTCTGAGCTGTCAGCACAGAGCCCGACGCGGGGCTCCAACTCACAGACCGTGAGATCATGACCTGAGCCGAAGTCGGACGCTCAACCGACTGAGCCCCCGAGAGCCCCTCAAGTAATTTTTATTAAAATAATATATGATCATTATTGAACACTTGGCAAATACAGAGAGATGGAAGAAAAACACATCCATGTGTCCCACCATCCAGATAACTATGTGGATAGTTACCACTACGACATTTTCCTTGCATTTCCTCTGGTCTTTTTCTTTGCATACTTTCATAAAAATCTGTTAATTCCGTATATGCTTGTGCCAGGAAGTCTTTCCATCTAGACCTATAGCAATAATGTTCTCATAATTTTTTTTTTTTTCACAAACTGTGCAGTTTCGTGCCTGTGTGATTTTCCGTGGACCTTAGATAAGTCCTATATCATTTCCTATTTTGGGATGTAAGGTTGTCCCACCGATAATAATGCCATTGTACCTTAATGTGTAACACTTTTTCAGTTTTTAGGACCGTTGTGAAAATGTCGTGTCAAAGTTCATGAACATTTTACTGCCAAATTGTTTTCCCAAAGAATTACCCCCTTGCAGTCCCAATAGTAATGTTTGCAAGTGGGGCTGTTTTGTGCCAATTAATTTGTATCATAAGGAAATGGGTCATCGACCTGTTCTCTTTTGGACCTGTAGCAGTTGGAACTTCGTTCAGAATAAACACTAATAAAAGCTTTAAATAACTCCAGTGGCCATGGTTCAACAGTCCCCTGTGGCAGCTTGTTGAGGATTTTAACAGCCCAAGGGGTTTTGATTTCCTTTTATTTTCTTTTCCCCTCTATTTTCCTCCCTCCTGGGTTTAAAACATGTTTTCCTAGCTACAGTTAAGCCTTAGTACTTCTTGTTCTGTCTTTGTTGATTAATGAGTATAATTGACCCCTGTTGTCTCTATTATACAAGCCACAGCAATTTGTTTTTATGTAGCAGATATTTTCTGAGCTGTCACAAAACTGCCTTACAAAGAGAGAGCTCATTATCTGCCTGAAGGAAAGGAATTTTAAGTGATGAAGCGAATAAAGGTCCCTATGAGAAGGAGGAGGAGAAGTCTAGGCTATTCAGATGTTCAGGGAACAGTGGGGGCAAAATAATCCGTTGTTGCTTAGGTACCGGGCCAGACTTGGTTAGATCTTGAAATTGCTAGATTAAAAATGGCTCCCCGTAGAGACAGTCTTGAAGACTGATACAGAAGCATGGAATGTAGGTCTGAGGAACCATAGAGCATGACATTGGATGGAGTGGGTTGCAGCCTATGGGAAGTTCACGGTTACGAACACGATTATAGAAATCCCAGCTAAATGCCTCTGGAGGGGGAGTAGAGGTGGCTTGTAAGTTGGAAGGTTTTATCTGAACAGATATTGACCATAAAGAATATCCAGATTTCCATGTTCTATCAGAAGATGGCTTGTTTTTCATTTATGTAGTTCCCCCCCGCCCCACCATTTCTTCTTTGCCCCCATGATCTTCATGAGATTTTCCTCAGCTCACCGAACGAACCAAGGAATCAGCAGAGGTCGAGAGGAAGAGACATTGCGACACAGTGCGATCTTGGCTTTAGCGAAGTCAGTCTGCCACAACCCTGAGAAATGGGGTCCTTGTGCCTCGGGAACCATCTTGTCTTCAGCTAGTCTATGGCGAGCTCCTCTGGGGAGCGTCCTGTCACATAACCTCTCTTCATCAACCCTGCCACACTTTTCTCGGAGGAGAAGAGGAAGGAATTAACCACACACAAGGACGGGCACAATTCCTAAGCAGCAGCAGTTACTTAGTCACTAACGATGGCTCTGAATTCTGGAACGCGACAGCTGGAGGGGCCTTGAAGGTCTCCTCTTTATTTTGTGAATACGGAAAGTCAGACACGGAAGATTTTTTGCTTCTTCCTGGTTTCATCCAGTTCCTAGCAGAGCCGGCTCTAAAAACCCAAATGCCCTCCTTTCATATGGTTGGGTAGCTTCTCGGCAGTTTGAGTTATCTTTCGGCCAACTCTTCTGTTCTTACACGTTTAAGGCGAGGATCCGATCCAGAATAGCTCCAGATGAACTATTCTCAGAGTGCAGGGTTCTGTTCATTGTAAAGAAACTTGCAGTACCTTATTTAAAGCATATTTTGTTTTATTCTGTCTTGTGGATAAGCGTTCAGAAAAAAAAAAGTTGGCTCGGTTCCTTCCAGAAACCTCTGATGCAAGAGCCATCTGGCTCTGGAGAGAGGTGTTGGGGACAAGGGCAAGTAGGAAAACTTTCAGAATCTCTTTGAAACTAACTACCGGGAGTAACAGCATCTCAGAGCTGTAAGACGTTTTGCCCCCTTGTTGGAAAGAAATGAGGCGTTGTCAGCCTTTGTAGAGTGACAGGGAGGTCGTAGGAAGAAAAGGGGTGCTTCGGCCATGGGTGGTCAGCAGGGTGGGGGGTTCAAGGATCAGCCCCTGGGCCAGAGGAGTACCAGTCCTCGGACCTTTGCTAACCCCATCCCGTCTCCTAATGAAAACTGTGTAAATTGAGCTTCCTCAATGAAAAGAATACTACCTTGTACTCGGAGGTACAGACAGAGGTAGGAGGCAACAGTACCTTGACTTTCTTCGATGAAGACCTTCTGTACTCTCCTTGTAGCCGTGGGGTTTAGTAACTATGGGTCCCCGAGTGATGTGAATTCGCCGGTGTGGAATTTACGATGATACGGGGAAGAGAAAATGAAGACTTGGCAGGACTTGGCAGGTCTTGGCTTGAAAACATAGTTAAGAAATCCCTCGTGGGTTTATTTTCCATGCACTTCAAACCCATCAAGGGAGAACGCCCAGGTGAGGGTTAGGGTGACGTTGTCTGCCGTCCTGACGAATCCTGATGGGTAGAACGCTGTTCGTCCTCATCGCCGTCCTTGGTTCACAAGAAGCACAAATAACACCCGTATGAAGAGCCGTCCCCCTATCTGGGTTAGAGCGCGCACCCAATGCTGTGCTTATGTTCTGATTTAGAACTGTTTCCTCTTCCCACGACCTTCCCAAGACCTTCTCCCGTGGCTTGTCATGGTGGGCATGATGGATGTACTTGAATTGCGTCCCCTCCTGCCAAATGAAATGAAGAAAGAGAAGAACCCACTTTGGCAACATCGCTATTCATTACGCTTATTGACACGAGTGAAGGGCTGTTTCTCCAAACACCCCCCGCCCCCACCGTGTCTCACAGGTGCCCCCCCAGCGCTTCCCCCAAAGGGGCCCACCTTTCCCGATGCCCATTTCCTTCCTCTCCCTGGGTGCTGTCCGAGGACGGGCTGCCCGCCCGCCCCCCCGGCCTCTGGAGGCTTTCTTTCTCACGAACACCTCAACTCCTCGTTTGCTGTTTGTTTTACTTTCTGTTAGTCTTTAAAAACCCTCCCCCGAGGTAGTGTTTTCCAATAAAATCTCACGGTTTCCACGAAGATATCGAGAAGTTCACAGGAACTCTCAGGCTTCACGTGCAGGGAGGTATCACTGTGTATTTCCGCAAAACGCATTGTGCGAATGGGTTGTGTGTAACATCCTGTCTCGATGCTGCTGCCCCAGAGCACGTCCGTCCACCGGCGGGTGCCGATGTGGGTCAGTGCCACCCTTCACGCGGTTTCAGACCCCACATCGCAGTCACGATGGAACACCCGCCCTGTATTTCGTACTTTGTGTTTTTCCACGCGTTCCCCGTGAAATCTGATGTGCCGTCAGGCACAAGAAGGGACTTCACCCTCCGGGGTCCTGTATTTGCACCGCTTACTGATTTAACTAGTGACACCCTCTGAAGCTATTTATTTGGTTAACGCTGTTCTGTCTGTGTTTTCGTCCCGTGCAGGTTACTCTGGTCAGGACTTCGACTGGGCGGATTATCACAAGCAGCATGGGACCGAGGAAGCGCCTCCCTTCGGCTTCAGGAATGTAAGGAGCTTGGTGCTTGCTACTGCTTTGTTCCTAGATGTTGTTCACCGTGAACTTTGTAAGTTGCTTCCCGTTCGTGAGCAAGACGAGTGTGCTGCCGTGGACCACAGGATCCTTACTAAGCTTTCGTAGTTTTTGCAAAGGCCTCCTTCAGGTTGTGTGTTAGGGTGACTCTGGGGTGTTGGAGCACAGCCGCTGCTACGTGTATGGTGGCCCGGTATAAGTTCATGTCTCACTTATGGAAGGGTCCGGTTTGTTCTAGATTAGCACAGGCTTCTCACTACGGTGAGCCTGGGCCTCAGGAGAGCCTCTGGCTTCATCCCCTGAGTCTAGTGAGCAGATCAAATAGCAGTGTGTGTGTGTGTGTGTGTGTGTGTGTGTGTTCACACGGGTGTACTTGTTATAGGAGTTGGTTGTATCGGGTGGCTTATCAAGTATTCATTTAGACTGGATCAACCCTGGGAACTATGAAAAGGCACATGAATTATTACGTCTGTATTCAGAATGAGGCACCGATGTATACAGCCTAGTGTGTTGAACATGCATTTAGCTATGAAAGTTAATTCTTTATACTAAAGAAAAAAAAAAAAGACTCAGTCCTCCAGTTGGGGATGGCAGGCATCACAGTGCAGAGTGCTCCCAAATCAGAGACCTTTTCTGGACGCGTCCTCCTCCAGCCGCTGATTCCTTGCTACCCCACCAATATAACTCGTACTACGGGGATCACGGCACATGACAGCTGAGAGGCGGAAGGGGCTGGCTCAATCGAGAAGCTCAGTACCGAGCGTAAGTCCAAGGTGGATTTTGAAGAATTAAGTAGGTCGGTCACTGGGTCAGCTTGACCCCCTAAATGCAGAAACTAAATGCAGAAACACATCCGTGGCAGAGTCGGAAATCGGGGCTCCTGAAACCAACAAAGGGACTTTCTGCCGGCTGATGCTGCTTTTGCACAAAGCTGGTTCTTCTGCGGCGCACGGAAAGATCTGCGTGGTGAGGCGCGGTGGTATGTGCGGTGGGGACCCTCCCCCATACTGTAGGCGCTCGGAGGTGCCACCGAGAGGGTAGCCGCTGGTTAGCTCCCGGGGCTTATCAAGTCCAGTGCAGTCTTACTAGCCCTTTTACAGTGATAGTGCTTGTCGCAGAGCCCTGGCCTCGTTGCCTTGCAGTTAGGATCCTGGAGACACTTAGCACGTCCCCAGACCCCTTCGAAGTTGTGCTTTCTACCCGACCAAAGACATATTCGTTCCCTACCTCTTCACCCTTGGGAGGGAGATCCTGACGTGTCCCCTGGTTTCGTGCGTAAGGAGGCGTTTCCTCTGCAACAATACGGTTCCACTGTCCTCTGCTCCCGTTCAGCCAGCAGCTGGCCAAATGGGATTTAGTAGAGGAAGTAGCCACATCCCCAGGTGGCCTCTGAGCTCCCAGGCTTTAGCTACCAGGATGAAATCTGTTTTAATGACTGTGCTGGCGTATTCATTAGGAATGCACTTGTTACAAACATGCCCGCTTTGTTCCCTGCTCTGCGTTTATGTAATCGACGGGATTGTCATCTGCCTGTTGGCATAGGTGTTGCACTCCTGGTGCTCTGCTGAATTTTGTTAGCTTGCCTCGAGTGCTCTTTAAGGGGATGCTTATCATGAATTCATTTTTTAATCACGCATCTTGTGTGCACTAGAGGAGAGGGGGTGTGGAAGTGGCTGCATGGGAGACATTTCCCCGGGGATGTTTAACAATCAGAGACGGTTCTGAGATGGATTGACACAGCGAAATGCTTAGTAAAATAAACTCACGGGTAACAGGTTTGCCATTGATCTTTATAAATTACCCTCAAGCAGCGAGTTGAAACGAAAATAGGTTATGCGGTTGTAGCTTTCCCTTATTAAGGAGGATCAAATGCATTTTAACTTACTTAGAGGCTTTTCAGGCAGCCTATCGAGTCATATTATCAAAAAGCTCAATACATAATATGCACGGATAGGCAGGATGACTTGTAGGAAAACAGCCTGCCTAGAATTTTCCTTGGTTCCTATTTCCAAAGAGACGTAAAGGAGAAGAACAAATCGCTTTCTTATCGCATATGCTGGGTCATTTTGTTCTGGTTACATAAAGATATAATTGACTTGCAACGTAACGTATATAAATAGATACGTGAATGCAAATTAGCTTGGCCTCCTCCCACGGGTCAAGTAAGGATGTAATCTCCTGGTACTTACAGGAGCCCGTTTACTTCAGTTTATGTATTTCAAAATAGATACATGCAGTATTGTAATATCTGATTAAAATTTATAGCAGCGGATGCTTTGGGAAAATCTTACGCTTATTTTAAAACAGTGCGAGAAGGGAGTTTTGCTTGGAGTGTCGGCTGAGCTCCTGCTGAATTGACCCTCCGGCAGGAAGCAACTGTCGGCTCCTGTGCAACTAGCCGAGGGATGTGGAGAGTGAACCAAACGGGCAGATCTGGAGGGGAGCAGGTGCTTGGAAGGAAGGAACACTCTGGGGTGACCGTGTGATTCTTTTCAGACTTCTGCCCTGAGGTCAGCCGCAGTGGACGACGTAGGAGACAACAAAAGCAGTGATATAAAACTCACAGTCTTTTCTGGCCTGATGAAGCAGATAACAGAATGTGAGCAACCACACCTGTTGGAAAGCGAGAGGAGTCTCAGAGAGGGAAGAGTCAGGAGAGGGAACCGCACATTCTGTGTATACACTCTGCCTAAATCTTTGGCTGATCCGCAGAGCGTGTCTTCTCCAGGCAAACTCCAGGCAGCCTAGCTAAAGACAAAAGACTGAGCTGGGATCTGAGCTCCTTCTCAAGAGACAGAGCATGTAGTTTGAGTCCAAACAAGTTAACTGCTTGCGAACACAGAAAACCAGCACTCTCGGGAAGAACATAACACAATCCAGAGTCTCTGTGACACGACATTGAAAACGTCCAGACTTCAGAATTGGTCAGCACACAAAGCGGCAGAGAAATCGGACTCATTTTCTATAGAAAGGCTAATCGGTAGAGGCCAAACCCAGCATGATCCAGATGTTGGAATTAGCAGACGTGTGTTCGAAAACTCCCGTTAAAACTCAGCTCGGAGTCGTAAAGTAGTGGTTCCCAAAGTGCAGTCCTGAGGCCAGCCTCCAGCACCACCTGGGAACCTGTTGGAAATACAAAATCTGTAGCCTCACCGCAGATCACATGAATCGTGAACTTTGGGCTAAGGCTCAGCAGTCTGTCTTTTTTTTTTTAAAGGTTCTCCAGATGATTCAGATGCTCGCTAAAGTTTGAGAAGGAAAATATGAATGAGAAGGTAGAAAGTTGGGGTTCTGTGTCTCCCCCCCCCGTCCTTCCCCAGCTCACACATTCTCTCTCAAAAATAAACAAACATTAAAAAAATATTAAAAAAAAAAAAACCTCGGCCAGTATTTGTGCAGACTCTTAACAAGAAAGGTCTTTGCTACTTGACATTCTACACGTGGCTCAGAATTTTCCTCAATGTTGGGAATGAGAGCAGGAGAGCTCCTCTGTGTTGAAGAAACAAGGGCCAGAATGTACCAAAGCAGCTGAGATTATAAATGAAAAAGTTCTGGAATCTCAGTGGGCCCCAAGCAACATAAATACAAAGACACCCAACATAGTCGAACTGCTGACAACCAAACGTAAAGAGAAAAATTTTGAAAATATCCAGAGAAAAAAATGATACGTCTCAAATAGAGGAACAACAACGTAAATAGCGAACTTCTCATCAGAGACAAGGGGTGCCAGACGACAGTGAACCAATGTTTGTGGAGTATTAAAAGAAAAAAACCCACAATTCTACATGCACCAAAGGTAACATTTCCTGAATGAAGGTAACAGACGCCTGGTGGCTTAGTCAGTTAAGTGTCTGACTCTTGGTTTCAGCTCAGGTCATCTTGTGGTTCGTGAGATCAAGCCCCGCATTGGACTCTGCACTGACAGTGCAGAGCCTGCTTGGGATTCTCTCTCACCCCCTCTCTCTCTGCCCCTCCCCTGCTCACACTACCCTCCCCTCCCAATAAATAAATAAACGTTTTTAAAAAAAACCTGACACTTCACCAAGGAAGATACACAAATGACGAAGAAACATGTGAAAAAATGCTCGACATCATTCGTCGTAGGGAAGATGCAAGTTCAAGCCATGATCAGCTGGCACTGGACACCTATTGGGTTAAAATTTGCAAAAGTGCCGATACCAAGTGCTGGTGAAGATGTTTAGCAGCGGGAACGCCACACACTGCTGATGGGAACGCAACATTTGGTGGTTTCTTAGAAAGTTAAACGTACGTTTCCCATGTGGTCCAGCAATTCCATTTCTAGAGAAATGAAACTATGTCATAGGCTACGTTGTATTCCCCAAAATTCATATGATGAAGTCCTAACCCGTAGTACCTTAGAACGTGAGAAGTGTGTGGAGTTAGAATGTTTTTTAATGTTTGTTTATTTTTGAGAGAGAGAGACAGAGACAGAGTATGAGCACGGGGAGGGGCAGAGAGAGAGAGAGAGAGACCCAGAAGAAGCAGGCTTCAGGCTCCAAGCTGTCAGCACAGAGCCCGATGCGGGGCTCAAACTCATGAACCGCAAGATTCGAAGTTGGACGCTTAACTGACTGAGCCACCCGGGCGCCCCTGGAGTTAGAGTTTCTGAAGACACAATTAAGGGAGCATGAAACCCTACGGGTAGACCTTAATCCAAAATGAGTGGCGTCCATACAAGAAGTGGAAATTAGGATGCAGACAGCATGTGGGGAGGAAGGAACGTTCGGAGATACAGGGAGAAGGTGGCTGTCTACAAGCCAGAGAGAGTCCTCAGAAGAAAGCGGCCCTACTGACACGTTGATCTCCGACTTGCAGGCTCTGGAACTGAGAGGTGAATTTCTGTGGGTAAAGCCACCCAGTCTGTGGTATTGCATTCGGGCATCGCAAGGAGACTAATACACCCTGTTCACACAGAAACTTGCACTTGACTGTTTACAGCGGCTTTATTCGCGACCGCCAGCAATTGGACACAGCTCGGATGTCCTTCAGGTGGTTAAGGGATGGACTGTGGCACATCTACAGAAACTATTCAGCAGCACAACAGAATGGACTTTCCGTTCGTGCGGTAGCATGGATGAAATGTCAGATGCGTTTTGCTTAAGTGGAAGAAGCCGGACTGCACCGTGTATGGTTCCGTTTCTGTAATATTATGGAAAAGGCACAACTCTGGGAACAGAAGACGGGCCCGTGGTGCAGGAATTGGGAGTCTGGGAGGGATTGATCACCGAAGGGCCAGTGCAAAAGCATTTCGGAGGTGAAGGGACTCCTCTGCGTGTTGATTGACGTTATGACCGTATGACCGTATGGGAGCCTCAGGAACAGGGCACCGAAAAGAGCGAATTTTCCTAAGTGTAAATTTTTATTTTTATTTTTATTTTTTAATGTTTGTTTATTTATTTATTTGGAGAGAGAGAGAGGGGGAGGGAGAGAGAGACTCCCAAGCTCAGAGCCCGATGCAGGGCTCGATCCCACCACTGTGAGATCACGACCTGAGCTGAAACTAAGAATGGGACACTCAACTGACTGAGCCACCCATGCGCCCCTCCTGTGTGCAAACTTTTAAAAAGAAGTGAATTTAGAACGTAAATAAAAGTAAGCCCAAGGCATACATGTAACACAAAGACCATTTCAGATAAAACCATGGGGATTCGTCACCAGTAGACCACTATAAACAACGCTAGTGGGTGTTCTTCAGGCCACATGGAGACTCAGGCTGTCTCCTCACATCCTCGAATATGCCCAGGCGTGATGTGAGTGAGAAGCATAGGGAAGGAAAAGAAATGATTTGCATGTCCGTGGTCGCGTGGAAATAAGGACATGCATGGGCCTAGAAAGAGACCATATCCACCCTCTCACTGGACAGATATTATTAGGCGCCTGCTGTTTGCCCGCGGAGTTCTAGCTCTGGGATGAAAACAAACTGGGCATGGTTCTTTTCTCGCGAATGGCAGGAGAAACGTTTGTCTCATGGAGGAGATCCGCGTGCATCGCGTGTGTGTGCGTGCGCGCGTCCCCGGCGGGCCCCTCTGTTGCTGCGCGATGCCCTGCTGTGGTGCCCTCTGGCTCAGTGTCCGCTCTTTTCTCTTTCAGACGTCATTCAGTAGGGGTTTCACAAAGAACATGAAACTGGAAGCCGTCAACCCCAGGAACCCGGGAGAGCTCTGCGTGGCCTCTGTGGTCAGCGTGAAGGGGCGGCTGATGTGGCTTCATCTGGAAGGTACGCACCATTGGCAGTCGTTCTGGGGAACTTAGGGCGCGTCTGGAAGTGGCAGGGTGCACGTAGTACTTCTCAGAAACAACGCCTCTTGCCTTCCTTTTACTTAAACAGATCTTAAATTATTCAGTGTTCTTAAATGACTCAAACTCATCAAACACAAATTTGTTCAGAGTCTCTTGTCTTGACTCATGATTTCATGAAAGGAGACACTGGTGTGATAATTATGTTTGCAACACAGTGGTCTTTTTGCATCTGTGATTATAAAAGCTAGTGTCACAATTAAATTAATATGAGCCACTAAAACTGGTATTTGAGGTCTGGGTTATTATGAGGATAAAATTATATATTTGCAATTTACTGTGAATAACACTCTGTACGTTGGTTTCTTCCATGGATCTTTAGTTGTACCTCGAAATAGTAACTAGAGATGACTTTCTCCCTAAATATGTAATACACAAGATTTAGCCTTACGTGTTTAATGATGTTTAAACTGTTGTTTATAGCTATAGTTTGTTTATAATTGTGCAGATAATTCACAGAACATTCTACTTTATAAGCGGAACCTTGATCAGATTTTAGATTTGGAAAGACTACATTTTGTGTGTTTTGTTTCCAGTGACGAAGAATTCAGATGAGTCTGATCTGTAAGGTTTTTCCCATTTTTCCGTGATCTGAACTCTTTGGGTTTATTTGTATCTCAGTCTCATGACATTAATTATTTGAAAGGTATATGGAAAAACAAGACTAGTCGGGAATGAGAAAATCATGGTAGCTCTCTCGGCCCATATTTTAACTGCCATGGCATCCCCTACTGCCACTGGAATGGAAAGTTTGGAAGGCCACGGAAGTGGTGCTCGTATCTTTCTCCTATCTCTTTAGGAAGAGCACATCTAAAAAGCACCAAAAGTTCTGAGGCTGACGATCTCCTAAATAGTAGAGTCCAAGGGAGTGAAAAGGGGAGAGAACAGTGACAGCAGGTGAGCGTCGCCTGTGTCCTCAATTCCCAGGAAAACAGTTTAAAATGTTACCGTGGTTTAGGATTTCAAAATCAACTTGAACTAAAAGAAAATTCTCAAAAGGTGGATTGCTTGGTGGCTCTTCGAGTAAAATGGCCTCTGGTAGGAATCAGCCACAGTGCAGGCAGACACAGGCGGAACGGGGCTCTTTCTGCAGCCTCGGGAAGAGAACGCGACCTTACTTCCGTCACTGTGTAAAGTTGAGTCACCTGCTCTTGGAAACACAGGATCCCTTCCGTGACTTCCCATCGCTCCATCAGACTTGCCACCTCATACTGGGCTAAGCCATGTTGCGAGATCAGGACCTTGCTTGCGTGATTCATTCGAAAGCAGACGCGGTAAAGTTCAAAGCCCATGTTTCATCATTATTATTTAGCACATCATCGTTAAAATTCTTTGGCAGTCATTATTTATTTAGCGGTTTGTAGTTCCAGAGTGCTCTACAGCTGTTAATTACCTAACACAGACACGCAGGCAAAGCATGTCCTGATTTTTATAGTTGGAAGAACGTTACGATATGCCTGGGGTCAGTTTCCTTCTCCTTGACATCTCCGTTGCTTAGTTCACCCAACCCTACAGATTCCCAATTCTTAAAAACAGGGGTGAGCGGCAACAGGGTAGAGTTAACATTTCTGACAGGCTTTTCTCCTTAATATTGTTTTTCTCTGGGATATAAATTTCCATTTTTAAAGCAAAGAAATGTGAGGCAGCTCATGTCAGCTGTTATTCTCCAGAGTGCTTTTTTATCCTGTAGCAGCGAGATCAGTTAGCGTTAGGAAGCAGAGCAGAAAATAAGTAGATCGTCCATTTTTTCCCAGCCCTTACTCCTTAAGAAAAACATTTTTTTATGAACAGTTTGTTGCATATTATCCACGTGGAATTCTTGATCGAAATCCTGTGTTTGTTGGATCGAATAAAGTAAAATCCCATTTTGTCTCTTGGCTCTCGATTGTACTTTGGGTTTTTTGTGGGGGGGGTTGTTTTGGGCCCCCACTGAATATTCCCTTTTAAAGTGCCAGTGAACTTGATGGCATTTATTTCTTGTTATTCCTCAGTTTTATGTATATACTGTTCTCTTTCCTTTGTCCTGGGAACGCATGTTAGAGATTCGCTATGGTCACTTTGTGGCTGTTAAATTATTTTTATGATGATGGTGATTCTGGTTATAGACCGTTCACTTGACACTTGAAACAGATCAAATACTTCATAACAATTCATTAGTTATTTTTATGCATTAAGTTGATTTGAAGTATTTTCAGCACATGGCTAATTGACCACTTTTAGGTAATTAAAGTGATCATTTTCTACTTAATACGTGACGTCTCTGGAGGTCGGTTCTTTAAGTGTCTATAAAAGAGCCGATATTGAAGAGGGGGGGCCATGGATGAGATATGGGAGACGAAGGTAGTATTGCTTTGGGTGCACATTTAGAAAGAATTGGGAGCTCTCCGGAACCGCGGACGGTGAGCGCAAGGATGATGGGGTTTCTTTGATTTAGAGAGGACGTTGCAGTGTTTCTCCTGAGTCTCGAGGCTGTCAGATCGACAGTTATAAGCATGACCCGTACAGTAGAGGTTGCTGTCCGTGGTGATATCTTAGCGTCACGGCCCTGCATTCACGCGTCTGCCCCCGCCCCACACCAGGTCCTTCTACGTGCGTTCCAGATGCTTCCCTCGGGGACGAGGAGGGTCTTCACCCGTCCTCATGATGCTTTAGCTCCCTGAGAGGGCTTACAGCTTTGCAATGCCTTCCTTGGCTTCTCTTACCCCCTCGTTATTAATCCTGTCCTCCGGTTCAGAAGAGATGTGGGAAGCTCCATGTTCCTGAATACATGACTTTTCGCCTTTGCGCTAACATTCCTCTGATGCCATAAAAGGTACGGCCACCGGCAGGCTTCATTTCTGCAAAGTTATGTGGCCCTTTTTGTTGCCGCCACTACAGAAATGTTTGAAGAGAGCTCTGGAAGGGGACACTGAAACCCGGTTTTGACCTGGGGAGCGCTGTTGCACGTGAAAAACAGGCAGGGGGACTCTCTCGGCTGGTGTTCGTTGTGCTTTGAGCGCAGGGAGGGAATGACGTCCTGGGGGAGTTGGTGCCCGCTGCTTTCGGTGCTGATCTGTCATAAAAACAAACACACAAGGACAGAAACACGAAGACGACCTAGAGTCTTCAGGTCTGCGGAGACGTATGAAAATCTTAAGAACAGGGGAGCTTGGGTATTACCGACATCTCCTAATCTTTATTTTTTGCTGCCCTCTGAAACGAAACCCAGAGAAAATTAAATTTTTCCACACTCAGTCCTGGAGAACGTACTGTGCGAGTGTCAGTCTGTGAAGTCTTCGCCGGGTATAGCTTCGGGCAGTAGCTTCCTGGCGTTCAGGACTCACATCCTGCCACCGCGAGCTTCACGTCCCCCATCAGCAAGCACCGAACACGCAGGGCTGCGCGCCCGTGGTCCCCGATTTCCGCCGACGAGTGCCCTCAGGAACAGCCGGCGGACTCTTGAAGCCTGAGCCTCGTGTAGGGTTTCAGCGGAGGGAGTTGAACGTAAGACACTCTGACGGTCCAGGGACGGATGTGAGCTCTCCTTTTCCCCTCTTGACAAGTGCATGCACTTTGGAACTGTCCGGTGACACTTCCTGATCTGTCTGATCTTCTCTTGGCTTCTTGGCTGCGGTGAGCGACCTAGGCCTGCCCCTGCTGGTTTCCTTTCCGCCACTGGCTCTAAGTGTCACGCACCCTTCAGAGTTGGCACGGGGCATGTCCCTGACCGGGCCAGGCTTGCAGGGTCCTCACTCTGACACCCGCCACTGCCAGTGTCCTGAGTCGGGTCACCTGGGCTGTTGGGGGTGACAGCAGGAAGGGGCAGACCTTTCACGCTCAGTGTACGGACTCTCACGTAACGCCATTTCCTGGCCTGGTCGTTTCCCTGACCTGGTGCTTCTGACTCTAAGTCAGAACGCTCTGGTGCACGTTTTCTAGCACGTGAACCTCCAGTCGCCTGCTTGGCGGAGGCGTCTAACCTGACTGTGTGGAATCGACAAGGGGATTGGAGGCCTGACTGATTCCTAGACTTGGAACCAGGCGCCTCTCCTCAGTTCCAGCCTCTCAAAGGCTCCTAGGCTGTCCTCCCTCATCTGCATGGGGCCCAGAGGCTGAATTGGCTTGCTTCTTTTCTTCCTTGCCTTCTTACTTTGTCCACTTTCAAATCTGATGAATGAATGAATGAATGAATGAATGGGATAACATACTAAGCAAGGGTAATGGAGTTTCCCACTTGAGCCCCTCATGGCAAAATTGATTCCATGCGGCATAGGGGTGAGGGCTCAGACCAGGGGGGAGTGAAGAAGTATTTAATGGAGGGTTTAGGTTGTTCCTATACCAGAGTCCTGGAAAATTCACTCTATCTTGAATCAAGTGACCTTACTGGAACCGAGAATGTGCTGACATCCCCAGGATGGTCCCCATCCTAGAGCAGGTTTTTACATTTGGGATGGGACAGACCCCTTTGAGATTCTCCTGAAAGCTGTTGCCACTCTGGAAGATACACTTGCACACATACACAATTTTGGGTGCCATTTCAGACGATCCATGGACCCTCTCAGAACAGCTCGTGGATAGACCTCCTTGGAATTTCATGGATCCCAGATGAGAATTCCCGCAGGAGACCGTCTCAGGAGCTGCGAATAGATGTTAGTTCTCTGTTGTCCCCCGCGTGGCTTCTAGACACAGGTGGCTGCTTTGTTTTCAGTGAAATCAAGTTATAATTTCAGCTCCTCAGTAGCACCACCTGCAGTCAAGTGCTCAGTGGTCACGGGAGGCTGGCGGCTGCTGATTTGGACAGCACGGATCTAGAAGTCTGCATCCTTGCAGGAGACTCTTTGGGACAGCACGGTTCTAGATGCTCCACTCCAGTAAAAAGTGAGCCTCTCGGGCCTGTCAAGGCCCAGAACTCAGATTTTCTAGAAGTGTGGGGCAGTAAAG